ATCTGACCTTGGGCAAATCACTTGGTCTGCCTGACCTTCAGTTTCTCCATCTGTAAAATAAGGGTGTTGGCCCAGTTGGCCCCATGAGGTGTCTTCAAACTTTAGAGGTCTGATCCTAGGATCCAACATTGAGGTGACGATTGAAGCAACAAAAATGGATGAGAATCTCTCTAGAGAAGAGAGCAGACCCTTGGGCATATCCACCTTGAAGGAATGGGAAGTGCATGAGGAGTTAGGAAAGGATACAGAGGAGTTATTAGTGAGTTTGTCTATGGAAGAGTGGGATAATAGTCATAGAATCTAAGGGAAGACAGGGAGTCATTCACATTGTCCAATGGTACAGAGAGGTCAAAGGAGGATGAGTTTAAAAAAGAGTCCATTGTGTTTGGCACCTGGAGCCATCGGATTAGAGTGAAGGGGAGAGAATGAGGACAGATTGGGTGGTGAGATAAGATAGTGGAGGCTGTGAATGCAGCCTCCCTCTAAGAGAAAAGGGAAGTAGGGATATAGGACAATTGCTTCAGAAGAGGAAGGAAAAGGTAGTGTGTTTTGTTGTTCTCTAGCGAGAAAAGACTTAAACATGTTATACTCTGAGGGAAGTGAATCAAGGGTATTGAAAAATGAAACATGGAGAAGGTTTGAGCGATGAAGCAAGATCAATGAGGAAACTGAGGGGAGAGTATCAGATGGGGGGCAAAGGTGGAGATAAGCTTCAGCAAAAATAAGGACTTCTACTCTGAGATTAGAGGACAGGTGGAAAGAATGGCATCTTCTGAAACATTCAGGTATCATAGTATTGCAAGTTTGGAGCTGGAATGTAGTTTAGTCCCCTTGTGTTAGAGATTTTTAAAAAACACCCCAAAGGCCCCAGAGGCAATGGGATCTGCCCAAGGTCATGCAAGTGAGACTTAGCAGAGCTGTGACTTGAATTTAGGCCTTTTGACTCCAAGTCCAGTGTTTCTTTCACTGACACATTACCTCTCTGATAATATTGAATAACAAGGAAGGGTCTCTCTCTCTCTGGCAAGGATGAACTTCCAATTCAATAAGCATCGATTAAGCTCCTACTATGTACAAAGTTTAGAAACAGGCCAAGCATTAAACAGGAGAAAGAAAGTGGGTTAGATTGCCTTCGGAAATTGCAAAGTTCCTTTAATGACTTTTTAAATGCCAATAATCTATGAGTGTGGTTGGATGGATTTGAGTCATAGAACGATAGCCTCTGAAAAATTAAATAGGAGTATAATGGGGCTTGAATTGAAAATGAGCCTATAGGGCCAGCTCTGGGATCATGCACAGAGTTGCTCTACCTGCTTCTGACTGACCACACAGGCCCTTTGGGAATGACTAAGCAATCTCTTTATTGGCTGCTGAGCCATAAGAGCCAGATCTTTAAAAGGGGGTGACCCTGCCTTCAATGCTCTCTTCTTTTCCTGTGTCTGGTATATTTGACTGGAGAGGTTGGGGGATGGGGAGAAAGTGGCCTTTTTTCCTACTCTGGAATACATAGCAAACTGCAACCACATGGCAGCTAAGGCCAGCACTGGCCTGGGCAAGTCTGAGCCTGAGTTTGGGGCTGCCTCATATTTGTTTGTTCCAGTCTCAATTCCAAGATGGACCTATCCATAGTGGTAGGCTAGCCTGTAAGGCCCAGAGGTCAGGAGGTCCTGGGTCTCTTGATCAGAGCTGAATCCCAACAGGCAGTGAGTTCCAGCAACTGAGCCCAATCCCTGGCCCAGCTTCCAAAAACATGAACTTTGAGGAAAGCAGTGCAGGACCAAGTAAAATCCTGATGAACAGTCCTGAAAACTGCTTCATATTTAGATGGTTTTGTCTCACCGTCTTGACACAATATAATAATAGTTTTTAAGTCTTTCTGTTAACATATTTGTTTTGTGATTAGCATTTCTTTCACGGGTAGGAAATAAATACCTGTCCCATACCTCATTCATGTGGCACATGGAATACCTTTTTCTTCTCGATTTTCTGAGTCCCTAGATATGAACCAAACCATAAGGCTTAAACAAGTTGTCTGAGGCTCTGGAGTGGGAGATATAATGCCCATGGTCACTCAGCTAGTCTCAGTGATCCAGTTTGAACCCTTCCCTTGATTTCAAGTTTACAAGGCTAATCTAGGTCAAGTCAAGTTGAATCAACAAGCATTTATCTATTGCACCCTTACTATGTGCCAGGCACTGTGCTAAGTGTTGGGAATATAAAGACAGGCAAAAACAGTGCCTGCTCTCAGGGAGCTCCAAGTATGTTGGAGGAGACAACCTGCAACCAGGGATCTATATAGAAGACAAATGGGAGAGAGTCTCAGAGGGTAGGCACCATCAGTATAGGGGTGGGTGGGAGACCTGAGAGGCTCCTTGTAGAAGGGAGGGTTTGAACTCTACCTTAAAGGAAGCCAGGGTACCTAAGAAGTGGAGATAAGGAGGGAGAGCATTCCAGGTATTGGGTACAGGGAGAGAAAGGTACAGAATTGGAAGACTGAGTGTCCTGAATAAGGAACAGTAAGAAGATCTGTATCCCTGGATCCTAGAAAGTGTGAAGGGGCATATGGGGTGTTCAGGAGGACTAGCATCTCTGGTATGAGTGGGGCTCATCTACCTTTGGTGTCTATCTGATTCACTGAATTCTCACCTGTGGCCTCCAAGAAGCTGTAGCATGCACAGTGGCCACACCCTAATAGAACCGTTTCAGCAGATGGGCTAAACTAGGTAGAGGGTAACTGACAGGCCTCAAACTCACTGGGAAGTTGGGGTTGTCTACCCCAAGCATGTGAAGAGTTCCCCAGGGGGATGGGCAAATGGGAACAATTTGCTTCAGTGGCCATGAAGGCAGCTGAAGCAGGTGCTGTGGAGGGCTTAGAGCTTGGTCGGACGTGGAAGAGGACAAGGTCATCCACCGCATCCTGGGCCATCGCCAGTCGTTCTGACTTTTGCCTTCCCCTGAACATGGATGACTCTAGAAGAGACAGTGAGGCTGACAATTTTGTACAACTCTGCCTAACTTAAATCCAATTCATGCACAAGTCAAGATATCACCTGTGATATCATTAGTCTTCTTTGATAACGAAGGATGAACAACTACACGTGGAGAATAGAAGACTTAAAGGGAAGGAAGGAGTGAAGGGCATGAAGAGCTAAAAAGAGGGTTTTAAATTTGATCCTGGAGGTAATAGGGAGCCACTGTAGTTTATTGAGGAGTGACATGTTAAGACCTTCGCTTTTAGGAGGATCGCTTGGGCTGCTGAGATGGACTAGAGTGGGGAAGGGCTCCAGGAAGGGAGACCAAGCAGAAGGCATTTGCAGTACTCCAGACATGGAGTGCTAAAAGCCCTTACCAAGGTGACCACTGTGTCAGAGGAGAGAGATGAATGTATACATGTATACATGTAGAGATGTTTTGAAAGTAGAAATGACGGGACTTGGAGATTGCTTGGATATAGAGTGAGTGAGAGTTTGAGTTAAGGATGACACCTAGGTTGTGAGCATGGGGAACAGAACATATGGTGTTTCCTTTATGGCAATAGGGAAGAAAGGAGAGAGGGTTTGGGGTGGGGGAAGATAATGAGTTATATTTTGAACATGTTCAATCTTCTCCTATGAAAAGTCAATTTGGGCCTTGAATCTCACATTTACTGAAAGTCCAATGTAATTAAAAACAAACAAACAAACAAACAAACAAGATTCGCTTTTAGTGGAGTTCTAGGGATCCAACCATTCTGGAATACAATTTGTAATTAGGCTATGAAAGTGACTATTAAAATGATCAGATCCTTTAAGCCAGAGACCTCACTGCTACATACATGCCTCAAGGAAGACAAATAGAGGAAGAAAAGTTCCCATACACACTAAAATATTTATAGCAGTATGTATACGCACAAGACTGAAAAGAAGGAACTGGAGAGGACAACAAAAGTGAAACTGAAGGCTTGGAAAACGTGACTAAGTCTAGGAAGCACGAGTCTGAACTTCCTCCATTGGAAGCCAAGCTCCCTGAGGGCAGGGCTCATATTTTTGCCAGCATTTAGTACCGTGCCTGGGCTTTAGCAAATGCTTAATATGTTTTTTGACTGACTGTCTTCGAAGAGGTGGGAGACTACGGATGTGGAACTGTTCATGTGTCATTAGACTGCTGATTTGCTGTTTTTGAGCTACTTTTTGTTTTTTTGTAATTTTTTTTTAAATTGAGATCTTGCTTTTTAAGTTGTTTTTGGCGGGCATGTAACTTTCAGAGTGTTTTATTCTTTGCTAAACTGGATGCTTCTGACAGGTCTATTCAGAAATGAAGGTGAAGTAGAAACAAGTTCTCAATAACAATTAAGAAGGAAACCAGAAACGGACGCAAGGTATGGGAGACGGGAAGTAGCCCTGATTAAGCGCCTACTGTGCGCTTCACAAACGTCTTCATTTGCACTCATAACGAACAACGGGTCAGAAAGCCCGGGGGCGTCGCGTCAGGCTCAGGGTCCAGCCAGGGCCGTCCTTTCGGACGGCACGCCAAGGACCCACCAAGGACGCTCAGGGGAGAGTGAGCACAGAACCCGACCCGCCCGAGACAGGCAAGCACGACCCAGGCCGCGCGCTCCCACCCCTTCCGCTTCCTGGGCCCGAGCCCGACGGAGCAGGCGCAGCCCACCCAAGGTCGCGGGGCTCAGACTGGGCCGCAGTGCCCCTCCCTCGGGCGCCGCCAAGGCCTTTGCCCTACTTCCGAGCCCCTCCCCGTTTCCCGGGCCCCCGCCTCGACTTCCGCGGCTCGCGATTGGCTGCACGGCCGCCAATGGGCTGCTCGGGAGGCCGAAATCTCGTTCACGGCCCCCTCTTGGGGAGGGGGGGGTGCTCGAGCCGAGTCTCGCGGGAGTTGGGCCGGCCCGAGAGCCGGAGTGTGGCTGAGGTGCGTGGGGCTGGGGCTGGAGCTGAGGAGGCCGGGCAGGAGCAGGGCGGGAGCCGGAGCCGGGAGGAGGAGGAGGAGGAGGAGGAGGAGGAGGCGCGGCGGCGGCGGCGAAGGCGAACGGCCATGTTCCGGGCGGCGGTGGCGGCTCCCGCGCGCCTGAGGCGGGCCACGGTGAGGGCGGCGGGGGCAGGGGCAGGGGTCGGGGCAGGGGCTGCCGCTGCCGCCCCCAGCGCGGCCCGAGAGCGGGGGACACCCCGCGAGGGCCCCGAGCCGGGCAGCGCGCACCTGTGGGGCGCCAGCTGTGCGCCCGGCCCGAGGAGGGGGAGCCAGGCCCGCCGAGGCTCGGGGACGGGCAGGGGGCTCGCAGAGCCTGCGCTTGAACCCGCGCCCGCCCGCCTCGTAATCTAGAGCGCTGGGGCCCGCGAACCCAGGGAGGTGGGCCGGCTTCCCCTCCGACCCCGGCTCGGGTCCCGGGTCACCCGAGGGCCCCCGACCCAGAACTTTGACCTCGCTTCCGCCTTCCCAGTACCGGCCCTTCCCCGGACCTAGGGTGCATGTTTGCAGAATGAGGCGGGTGCCCCGACCCTGAGGTCCGGCCCCGGAGCCCCCCTCCCCCCCCAGCCCGGACAGCTTGGGAGCCCTTTGCATGACGTCATCTCCAAAGCTTTTCCCTGGGGCGGTGCAGACACAAGTTCTGGTGTTGAAAGCGTTCCCAAACGAGATGAGAGTTGGAGCACGTTGTTGGGCCCCGCGGGGGAAGTCAGCCTGCCAGCGGGGTGTCCGCATGGGTGCAGGGTAAAGAGGCTTCCGCCTTCAGTCCAGTTCAGGCGCTGTGGGGGTGGGGTGCACGCGGGGACCTAAAGCCTGTGGGCGCCCCTGGTAGGCAGAGCCTTGTGTGGACCGAGCAGGGGTGACTCTGGATACTGCTTGGGTTCATACTTACACTTCCGGCTGAGGTTCTGTTCGTGTTTCTTTTTTGTTGGGTGGGAAATGCTTCCTTAGGTCATGGCAGGTGACGGTTAAGTTGGACAGAGGGGCAGGGCAAAATATCTCCTGGTGCCTAGGGGCTAGGAGGAGAAACAGGTATGAAGGATGGCTGAAGATCGAGTTTGACACGAATTATACCTAGAGGGGAGGGTTAAGGAGCACTTTGGACACTGTACACTTTTTCATTTCTTCTTGTGAGGTAAGTTCTTCAGGAATTATACCCATTTTACACTACCTATTTTACACTTGGGAAGACTGAGGCTCATGGAGGTTAAGTGATTTGACCATGGTCACACAATGTGTCACAGGTTGGAATTTGAACCCATCTCTTAAATCCCAGTTCAGTGCTCTTTCTACTATACTGGGCCACTCCAGCCACAAAATGGTTTCCATGGAGTTTCCATTTTCTTTTGAGGTTAAGAGGAAAAGAACAGAGGTTAGCTACTGTCTTTTGCCAATAACTTTTTCCACTTTAGTCTGTTAGGAGCCTTTCAGCCCTTCCTCAGTCCTTCGAAGGTTTTTTCCTTTCTCAGTACAATGTGGTCTTCCTGTAATCTTCACATTAACTGATCATTGATACAGAGATTTATGGTTTCTCTATAATATCCAGAGAAAGGAAGTACAGGAGACAGTGGTCCGTTGAAGAATTGTCATCCTCGTCTTACATCTGTAAGGAAATTCAGACATATTAGAGATTTAGAACTGGAAGGGACTCAGAAGTCATCTAGTTCAGCACTTTTTACACTGTGGGTCCAGAGTGGAAAAAGTTTAAGAAACCCTGAGCTGAACCTTCTTGTTTTACAGATGAGGAAACTGGGACTCAGCAATTAAGTCACTTGACCAAAGTCAGAATACTAATAAGTGTCTGAATTAGGTTTTGAATCCAAGTCTTCTGACTTCAAGACCAGTCAGCACACTGTAGGTATCACATGCATTCTAGATAGCTGAGGGATCAAGGGCTTTCTGCTTACTCAGCAGGACCCCTGTGAACCAGGGTCCTTGTGAGAACCTGAGAGGTTTAGATTCAGGAAACAGCCAAGAAAAGTGAGTTCTGAGAATTCAGAATTCTTGGTGTGGAGGAAGGTAAATTTTTTGTCATGTGTGCTGTGATGTGTGAAAGGATCATCTGGTTATTTTCTGTTTCAGAAGATTTAATTCTAGAAGGAGGAACTGTTAGACCATCCCCTTAGAATCTGGCTTCCAGCCCTGTCATTCCAGCCAAACGGCCCCCTCCAGTGTAACCAGGGATTTCCTAGCTGCCAAATCAGTGGCCTTTTCTCGGTCTTCATTCTCTTTGCCCTCTCTGTGGCTCTGGGCACTGTTGATCACCCTTCCTTCATACTCTCTTCTTTCTAGGTTTTTGGGGCACCCCTGTCTCCTGGTTTTCCTCCTGTCTGTCTGACCACTCCTTTTCTGTCTCCTTGCTAGATTCTCCTCTAGATCATGCCCAGTAACCATAGGTGTCCCTCAGGTTTCTGTCCTGGGCCCTCTTCTCGCTCTGTACTACTTCTCGTAGTGATCTCAGTAGGTCCCATGGGATTTAATTATCATCTTTGTACTTATGACTCTTAAATCCAAATTTTCTGCTCTAACTTCTCTGCTAACCTCCAATCTCTGCCTTTCAGACATCTCAAACTGTATATCCAGTAGACATCTTAAACTCAGCATGTCCAAAGTGGAGGTCATTATCTTTCCTCCTAGACCTCCCTCACTCCTGCCTTCCCTATTAGTGTTGAGGGCACTACCATCCTCCCTCAGGCTGGACCTCAGGCTCCCAACCTGGGAGTTATCCTGAACTCCTTCCTCCTCCCACTTCCAAGCTATTGCCAAAGCCTGCTGATGTCACCATTGCAACATCTTGAATACATTCCTTTCTCTTCTCTGATACCCCCCCCACCCCCCACATGCAGGCCCTCATCACTTCACAACTGGATTATTGCAATAGCTCCTGTGGGTTTGCCTGACTCAGGTGCCTCCTCACTCCAGTCCATCTTCCCATTCAGCCACTAAAGTGATTTTCCAGTCTTGTCACTCTCCTTGGTAAATGCCAGTGGCTCCCTATTACCTCCAGGAGAAAATACAAAATGCCCTGTTTGGCATTCAGAGCCCTTCATACCCTAGCCCTTTCCTGCCTTTCCAGTCTTCGTATACCTTACTCCCCAACACATGCATTTTTTCTTTCTTTCGTGTGTGTGTGTGTGTGTGTGTGTGTGTGTGTGTGTGTGTGTGTGTG